TTTTCCTCCATGGGCTGCTGGATCTAAAAGGAGGTTGAGGCTGTTTAGTAGATTTTAAATCCCCTGTTTAGCAGATAGAAAGTCAAGGCATGACAAGGAGAACATGTTTTTTTGTAGTGTGGGACCAGAATCCCACCCTTCGATTCCCCATCTAGGGAATATTGGTCTGTGCCACATGGCACAGTTCAACTTTAATTCAAATGGAGAACAGATTGCAGCGGAGGGAAAGGATACTTTCTCCTCAGCATAAGTCTAAAGTGGCAGGAAATATGGGCAAAGGGCTCAAACTCACAGAGGGACAATAGGGGTTTCCCCATGCTAGCTAATTCTACCTGTTGGGTATCACATTTTGGCACATTCCTCCTGCCTAGTTCAATTTTAGCTGAATATCCTGAAAATCCACACTTACTCCACAATGGAAAGGAAGGCCTAGGTGTCTTGGTTTCTTGCTTTTCCAGCTTCATTCTTCTCTCAGCCTTTTTGGTGGTCCAGCCTGATGTCGCTTCCTGGAGTCCCTCAGACAGTTCCCCGAAAGCGTGGACAAATCTGTTCCCTCTCAACATATGCTTGTCTCTCCCTCCCCTCCTCTCTCCCTCTCTTTCTCTACACAGAAAACTTTTCTTAATTTCCTTTAGACCAGTCATCCTCAAACAGGAGAGATTTCATTCCTCCAGGGGGCATTTAGCAATGTCTGAGGGGATATTTGTCAGTTGTCACTATTAGTGTCTGATGATGAAAAGCCAGTGTAGCTAGCCATCCCACAATGCACAGGGCGTCATCCTATAACAGAAAGTCTTCTGGCTCCCAGTGTCCATAATAGTGAGGTTAGAAACTACCAGTATTTCCCTTTCATCTTAATGGTCACTCTTCCAGGAAGGCCTCCCCTGGAGCCCCTTAAATAGTCCAGTAAGTGTTTCCACTCTGCCCTTTCCCCGATGATGTAGCACCTGCTTTCTTAGCAGCCTCTCATCCCAGGGTGTAGACTAGGGGTGTCCATAATTTGACACTGTAACAGTATATCTACAGATGTGTTGGGCCACAGGTATAGCTAGCCAGGGACACGTATGGCCTGCCAGCCACAGGTTAAAAGCACCTGGAGTAGAGAATGCTCTGGGCCACTCTCTCACCCACCGTCTGTGTTCCACGAAGCACACTTTTACCTGCCTGTTGCTCTCGGACACAGTTGCTGGCAAGGTCTTTGTTTGTTTGTTTGTTTGTTTGTTTGTTTGTTTTCTCCCCAGGAGTGGCATGGCTTTCTGAGAGCCTCAAACGCAGATACTCCAGTATTCTGGCACACTCTTGGGAATCTGATAGTCATCCCAGTTCTACCCCCTTCTCACTGAGTGACCTTCAGCAAGTTGCTTAATTTCTCTGAACTCAGTTTCATCATTTATGAAGGAGCATAAAAATAGAACCTGCTCCATGGAGTTATGGAGATTGAACGACATGCACAGTGTGCATAGCGGGGAGGGGGGGGCGGGCGGTTACTGAGCCCGTCTCTGACATCGAGCGAGCGAGGGATGCGTTACCATCAGGCGGGGGCTGGGGAGATGCCTCAGTATGTAAGAGTGCTTGCTGTACGTTCGTGAGGACCTGAGCTCAGATCTCAGAACCCGCAAGAAAGCCAGGTGTGGTCATATGCATGTCTGTAACCATAGCAACCATAGCACATAGGAGGACCTGACAGTGACAAGTTTTCTGGAGCTTGCTGGCCATTGGCCCAGATTCGGGTACAGTGAGATACCCTGTATCAAGGAAATATGATGGAATGTGCTAGACCACAACACTGTAATCCTCTTTTGGCCTCTGCACACACACGTACAGTGCTTATATCTACTTATATGTCCATACACCACACTTTCTTACACACACACACACACACACACACACACACACACACACACACACACACTTACTGTGTAGAGCCCTTGTAAGCTCCAGGCCCACAGACAGAAAAATGGATAGTTGGAAGCAGCCTGTCACCTTCTTACATCCCTCAACACTCAAAGGTGCCTACAGATGTCTTGTCTTACTATAGATTAGTTATAGGCGCCTAGATATTCCCTCTCTGAAGCATAGAAGTGCCTCTACAGCACCCGCAGGTAGGGCTCAGGTCACCTCCAGCCTCTCACCCTCTCCACTCGAATCTTCTTTCAAACCCTGGCCTGGCACCCTGGCTTCTTATCTGGATTCCGCCTCTCAGGTTCCACCTCCCGCCTCAGCCTTTCTCTGGAGGGATGCCCACTTCTCCATCTCCCTGGGCACCACCTCCAGTGTGGGCAGGGCTTCCACGCCCTGTAACCAACCAGCCTGGCCCTGCCCCCCTATCAGGTCTGAACTCTGGTCCACAGCCAGGTGCCCCAGTTCCCATAAGATTACCTACAAGGGAGTTAGAGGCATTTGTATGAGCTGAGTGCCAAAACAGATCACTGTACTTGCTTTTCCCTTGTAGGGGCCGGGAGAGGGTGAGGCTATTTTCAGCTCCCGACTTTCTTTCTCTGCTGCTCTAGACATCCAAAAACTGTTTCTAGAGAAGCAAAGGTCTGTTTCCTAGACTGCTGGGGTCGGTAAACAGAAGTGTGTATTTAGAGATGGAGGATGAGACAGGAAGTAGGTGCTGTGCCTGGTCAGAGAAGGCATCAGACAAGGCACCAGAAGCTGCACACAGGAAATCCTTCTGTGGTAAGAGCAGATGTAGGAGCCAGTCCCACACAGGTAGCTAGCTATCACATCCAGGAACTGGCTTTCAGAGCCCCTCCCTGTCGGCAGAGCCTAGGGCTGGGGAAGGCACAGAAGAGTCCAGGGCATCACTGCTGAAGGTGGCTGGGGAGAAGGGGGTGAGAGGTGAGGGGTCTTGTGGCATCAGCTCACGGAGATGGAGCCTCTGGTGCACCATCAGCTCCTGACTGTGGGTGAATAGCCCTGCTGATCAGCTTTTGGCTTTCTGCCCAGCAGCCAGGAAAACCTGGTGGGTTAGTTTCTAGGTCTCTTTCTCTTTCTGGTTCTCATACCCTCAGGTTGAGAGTGTGTGCGTTTTCACCTGTTGGTCTGCAGAAGGATGGGGTTTGGGTTCAGAGTGTGTGGTAGAATGTTACGGAAGGGGTGGAAATGAGTGAAACTGGACTTCTTAAGATTAAAGTCAGTGGCTGGGTGGGTGGCACATGCCTCTAATACTCTCAGAAAGCAGAGGCGCATAGAACTCTGTTTGAGGCCAGCCTAGTCTACATAGAGAATCCCAGGACACTCGGGACTACACAGTAAGACCCTGCCTCATAAATAAATAATAAATGTCTGTGTTGTAAAGTCCCTTTCTAAGTCGAATACCAGGAAAGAGCCACACACCTGTCACCCATTCCTCTCGCCCCTCTCCCATCCAGGCTGGCCTTGAGTGGTCCAGTGTCTCTTTTTTTCATTTGATTTGAAGAAATCGGTGCCTTCCCACCCTTCCTTATCTTCAGTCCTTCCAGTGTATGCAGTGAACGTCTTTGCTTTTAACTCCGAGCTTACTAAACACCATGGAAGAGTCACAGCAGGCTCACAGTGAAGTGCCCAGAGTCCAAAATTTCAACTGTTTTCCAAGATGGTTCCACTACTCTCCAGGAACATTCTCATCCTATCCCAGTCCTGTGGCTCAGGACAATAAGAAGATCCTACAAGGGAAGATGCTCTATTCAAATATGACTTATTATAGAATGCTAGCCTTAGCTTCCTATGGCTGAAACTCCTAGGGCTCCATGTCCACAATGGGTCCTGTATGAGCTGGTCACTAGTAAATCAGAAAGCTCCTATTCTCAGGAACTGTAGAAACAGGCAAGAAGGACAGAGAGAGACCAAGACCTGACTTGATGGAAGTCAGGGGCACATGTCCCTGGTATGAGCTGGATGGAGTCACAGTAAGGTTAACAAGCTCTGTTTAAGTGCTCCCCGAACGCCAAGCCATGTATTAAGTACTTTATGGTCATTATTTTGTGCTCCACAACCCACAACCTGAGAAGGCAGAATCTAGGCTGCGGTGCCAGACAGCTTTGGTTTAAACCTTATCCTTACCTCTTGCGAGTTGTGTACTCTCAGGAACATTCTTGCATCCTTAAAGGCTCAACTTCCTTATCTGTAAAATGGAATGATAATAGTACCTACCCCATAATATCCCGAGGATTGCATCAGATAAATACGTGCAGAATGGGTGAGAGACGCCCCCGGCGAAAGGCAAGCAGTCAACATGTATTAGTTAGCCTTATTGCTGTCGCCTTTGATGGGTTTTTTCTTGGGCTTCTGTAACAGAGTGCCACAAACTAGGTCTGGAGGCTAGGAGTCCAAAATCAGGGTTTTGTTTTACTTTGTTTTGTTGTTTTTTGATTCCACCTCCTGGCCCAGCCAGAAAATCATTCCAACCTTCCGGCATTCCTTGGCACAGTTACAGGCATTTGCCTTTGCGTCCCTTCTTTCTGTTGTCCTTCTTCCCTGTGTGCATATTTCCCCCTTATATCAGGGCATCACTCCCATCATTTGGGCCCACTCTAATGACCTGCTTTGAACACGATTACCTCTAGAGATCCTTCCTGTCTCTAAACAAGGTCACGAACTCAGGTACTGTCAAATGATAACACCCCATGTGTCTTTTAGGGGAGACGTAACTTGACCCATGATACAAGGCTCCGTAACATACTTAAAGTTATGTGACTTGCTAGTGATGAAACCTGTCTTGTAGCCAGAGATTTTCTTTTCTTTTCTTTTCTTTTCTTTTTTTCTTTTTTCTTTTCTTTTTTTTTTTTTTTTTCTTTTACAGCAGATTCCTCAGCGTAAATCCCAAAGGAAAGCCTCAGTTGTGCTCAACATTTTCTGGCATGAAAGAATGAGGCAGGGGTGTCATCTACAGATGGGTCAGGCTGCACTCATTAGCTATGTGGGTCACGGGCCATAAGCTAGACTAGCTGGACGTGTTTAGAGCCTTGTGCTGTTTTCGTGATGGCATTTTCTCTTTATTTTGCCCTCTTCCACAGCTTGCCTGCTCCAGGCTGAGCTGGTAAATTATGAGCGAGTCAAGGAGTACTGCCTCAAGGTCCTGAAGAAGGAAGGAGAGAACTTCAAGGCCCTTTACAGGTCTGGTGTGGCCTTCTATCATCTCGGGGACTATGACAGAGCTCTCCACTACCTGAAAGAAGCAAGGACCCGACAACCAACAGGTGAGACAGATGCCCCTGCTATATCACCACAGACAACCCTGACAATTCCTAGGGCTTGCTTATTAGAGAAAATGGTGTCTGTGGCTGGCAGGGCGAGGTGGGGCCAGAGATAGAAATCAAAGGCTCAGGTTTAGGTAATTATGACCCAGAATGTGGAGACCACATGCTCCATGCCTTCAACTAGAGTCTGGTTCTAGGGACCCTGGGCACCTCTTCCCTTCAGCTACACTGTAGAATTGATTTTTGCCCTTGCCTACACAAAGCTAGGTCTCCTCACTTATTCAGTAAACACACAGAGTGCTCACTCTGTGGCACAAGCTGTGCCAGGCACCAGGGATGGAGGTGAGAAGGCCCTTCCCTATTCTAGGAGTCCACATTTGATTGACAAGACAGGCACAAGCAGACACTTCTGATGCTAAACCCAGCATCTTTCAGGAAGCACCCACCGACTTCTCCAATGAGATGGCATTGCTTTAGGTAGTGTGTAACAGCTATCCCAGCCACCCTTTCATTTATTCATGGGCATTTGCTAACGTAGTACAGTGGGCCAGGAACTGCTCTAGGTGGTAAGTACATTAGCAATAAGCAAAGAAGGTTGCCACTGTGTCCAGGATCCTGTGCTTGTAGGCCTAACATTCAGGAAGCAGGAAGATTGCGTAAGTCTAGGAATTCAAGACCAGCCTGGACAACATAGGGAAAAGTTATTTGTTTTTTTGTTTTTGTTTTTGTTTTTTATTTTGTTTTCATTTAGTTTATTTTGTCTGGTTGTTTTTTTTGTTTTTAAGACAAAGTCTTGCTGTGTCAATCAGGCTGTAGTCAAACTCCTCATCCTCCTGCTTCAGCCTCCCAAGTGTGTGCCATCGTACCCAGCAAGGAGCGTGTATTATAAAGGAGGAAGCAAGTAGATGCTTCCTCTAGTAGATGATGCGTTCTTGGCAGCAGTAAATGCCATGAAGGAAATAGAGCAGAGGAAAGGGAATGCTGTTTTAGGGCAGGTGGTCTGCAGGCCTCTGTGATGAGCTGAACTGTAGGCAATGAACTGTAGGTGTGATTGTCCATGTGGTTGGTTCGTTAAGATGGCCAGATTTCCTCCAATCCGTCTTTAAGAACTTCTCAAGTTGCTAACATCCTACCGTACCCTTTCTTTGCCTTTTTAAAGAAATACTTCTCTATTTTTACATATGGTTGGCTTACTTCCTGCGAATAAAGTGTGTTTCTGCCAACTATATTGTAAGCAACTTTGGAACTAAAAGCAGATTCACCCAACAGAGTTTTCTTGAGCACCTGCTCTATGCCAGTACAGGATGCTGCCAGGAGCTTTTTAAGTGTGATGCACTATCATTTTTTTTTACTTCCACAAGTAGGTATCCCCGGCAGCACTGTGATTCTTCTGTGTGGGAAGGGCAGAGCTCAGCGGCTCCTGAATGCCATGCACCACTCACTTAATTCAAGGACTGGAATCAGGAGAAAATGCTCCAGTTGAGAAGTGACTATCTGGCCGTACTTAAAAAGACAAAAATAATCATGGAACAAAGTCATTTTAAGCTCCTAAGTTAAGTAAAACAACACATTTGACTAATGTTTATTGATCACGGTCTTAAGCACTTTTAGACTTCCCTCTTCTGGCCTTCACATCGACTCTAGAAGAAGGGTATTATGATCCCCAGGAGAATCAGGCTTGAGCAGACATGCCAATCACTGTGTTGTCTCCTTGAGCTTTTTTTTTTTTCTTTTTTTTTTTTTTAATTGTTGTTGCTTGTTGGTTGGCTTTTTGTGTTTTGTTTGTTTGTTTGTTGTTTTGTCTTGTTTTCATGACAGGGCATTTCTACATAACCCACCCAGGCTGTCCAGGAACTCACTATGTAGACCAGTCTGGCTTCAAACTCACGGAGTAAAAGAGTAGGCCACAATGAGCGTCCATGAAAATCTTAACCTTTCCAGGTCCCAGTCTTCCGTTTTGCCACAGAGAGGGTCAGGATATATACCTTGCAGACTGTAATAAGAGATAGACTAGATAAAGATGGCAAAAAAAGCAAACAACAACAACAACAAAATGCCTAGCATAATGAGGCACAGGGTATCCAGCTGTAGTCGAGGTACCTGGGAAGCTGAGGCAAGACCATCACTTGACTCCCAGAGTGTGAAGCCAGCCTGGGCAACAACCCCTCCGTTAGAAATATCTTCTTTGGTTGGGTTTTTGAGATAGAGTTTTTTGTAGCCCAAGCTGGCCTCAAACTAGGTATGTAGTCAAGGATGACCTTGAACGGATCCTCATGTTTCTTGCCTCCCAAGTCTGGGGATTTAGGTGTTCTTCCACCGAGCTGTAAGCAACATTTTTTTCTAACTTAAAAAAAAAAAAATCACAGAGCAGATATTAAAAATGAATATTGTTTCTTGCAAATGGGACACAGGGTAGAGAAGTTGGTAGTTTGCCTGAGGCTTAGCACCAAGGCAAGCAGACTCGGCTAAGTGTACTGACACAGGGACCACTGAGATCATCTCCTGCCCTCCCCCTACCCAACCTCAGTCACAGTAGACTGGTCATATTTGCTACAGAGAAGCTGTGAGGAAAAAGCTGGCATCTGGCTGCTCTCTCTGCCACCACTAAGGCAAGTTAGGCGGGACCATGGCTGACTGAATCTAGCCTGTCAACAAGCTTTAGGCCCAGCTCTTGCTCCATTCTTTGAAGATACCGCCATAATCCATGCTGGGTAGTCCCTGAGGTGTGTTTTCTTTCCTCACAGACACCAATGTGATTCGGTACATCCAGCTGACAGAGATGAAGCTCAGCAGATGCTCTCAAAGGGAGAAAGAGGCCGTGTAACGAGGAAGCTTCTCTTGAGCCGCACTCACACCCGACCAGGGACTTCCAGGCACCTTTGGCAGAGAGTCCCAATGTGGGTTCTCTCCCTCTCTCCCCAGTTCTTCCTGTACTCCTACTCCTGTTGCTCCTCCTGTTGCTCCCCAGGTCTGTCTCCTGAACCTTGGTGGGCAGCCCAAACGTGGACTTATTTTCTTCTCTAGCAGGCCAGCCAATGGGACAGCTAAGGAAGAGTCTGATGGACTGGGGGCCGAATTGTGGCTTTGGCCTGGGCCAGTGTTTCTGAGCCTGGCAGGTATGTGGATACCACGCTCTGGACCTTTCCACACTTTCCTGATGGATCAGAGCATCTTGAGGGAACTGAGAGGAAATCTGGGGCTGGTTCTGAATGTAAGAAGCATTGTTTGAACCAATGCTGAGATGGTGAATTTCCTTCAGCCCCCTCAGTCACCTGAGCTCCTGCCACACACACACCCTTACTTGTCTAGGCTTATACTTTCTTCTCTCCCACTAGGAGGTCAGGTCTTTGCCAGGATTCACATGCCATTCAGGCCCACTCTCAATGCCCTCCTCACATACCATTCTCCCACTCCCAGCCAGTAAGCAGCTGTGACAGCAGAAGGACGGGGTGAAATGGGCCAAAGCTTGGGGGCAGAGCAGACTGTGTAGGTGATGGAGGGGGGCAAGATGATGTCAAGGGAAAGAAAGAGCCTTGGGTGGGCTGAGGGACTGGACTAATTAATGTAAATGAAAACAAACTCACGGGCACCAGTTCCTGCCATTTCTGTTGGAAGCAGTCCACCCCTCGCTTCTGTTCCCTTCCTGTCCCTCAGGAAGAATGGCTTACAGCTTCCCCTAAAGCCAGTGGCTATCAGTCCAAGACTATACATCATGTTGACCACAGCTTTTGTGCTTTTGGGAGTGTGCCGGGATTACGGAAACTGGTCCAGGACTTGGCTGTGTGAGAATCTGTACACACACCTACACCCTTTTTGACAAAATTATCTAGCACATAAATTTTTGTTGAATGGATAAATTTCGACCGCAGCCTGACTCGCCTGCCTTAAACTAATTGGAACCCAGCCTGGTCTCCTGGCACCTATGCTTTTTTGTGCTATGCCATGCTGAAACATTTCCTGAGGGCTTACTGGTCCCCCACCATAGTGCAATATAGGATGTAATCCCAGTCTTCACGGAGATAGGAAAGCTGAGACATCCTTATGAGATTATTACCAATGACACCATTAATATATATGATGCTTAAACATTTTCAAGTCACTTTCATATATTTTTCGTGTGATTTAGTGAGACACTATTGTATAGAATCAAAATATATACAGATGCAATAATGTTAATAGTTAGGATTTATTAAATGCACTCTCTTCAGATCTTTACATGGACAATCTTATTTCTTTCATATAATCACTCCGTGAGATATTATTCTCAGGTGGTGAAGAAGAAAACAAAAAGCTGGGAAAATTAACTTTCTGGAGGTTGCATGGCCTTATGGGACATGGCTAGGCTCAAAAGATCTTTTTTGATTCCAGAGCCCTGGCTACTAACTATCTTATGCTTAGTTGCCTCCCTGTTGGACAGTACAACTGTTTGAGAGCAGAAGAATTTGCCTGAAGTTGAAACATATTCAACATCTCAGTGCCCCACCCCCTTATATTTACATAAGCAAGACACAAAGAGACCGAAAGCCAGAAGGCCTAGTGGCTTGGGCAGTGACCAGCCAGAGGAAGACAATTGAATCCCAGCATTTACATCTGTGTGCTTGCTGGTCATTCTAGTTACTGATAGGGCAGCAGGAATCCGAACAACCCACCTGTCATTCCTCACTGTATGGCCAGCAGTGAGAATGGATCACAACTATAGGCAAAGACTGAATAGAGACACGCAGTTAATTATGGATTTTTGTTTGAGCAGTAGCTTTGCCACTGTAAGACCCAATCGCTGCTGAAGGAGCCCGGAAGCCAACAGCACAGGTTATATCCACACAGCTCCCCAAACGCTTTCAGCGGGGGCTGCAGGAAGGTGCTAGAAATATCCAGAGTTCCACAGTGTCTCTGGAGAAGAAGAAAAGGAAAAAGCCATCCCAGGTACCACATTCCCTGACTTTGAACATATCCTGTCTTCTTCCTCCAAAATGGCTTCATAGGACCCCCACCTAGAACTACTCTCAGCCCTGACATATGCCTACGCCCACACCCTCAGCCCCCAACGCCATCCCCAAGCTCAGAGGTTATAAGCTGACAAACCTTTAGGATCGGAAGGATGAAAATGAGGTCGGGGTGGTTTACAGAATTTCAGACTAGCAGGCTCCCCCCTTTGTTCTTCAATGCATGGGAGTGACCTTGATACTGATTCCCAACAAAGGGCAGGAGAAGGCTTGCTTGGATGAATGCATCAGGGCAGGGCTATCCTCATAGGAATCAAACCATTGTCACCCCAGAGAGAACGTTTGAAAAGCACAATGAGGCGAGGGCAAGCATACAACCATTGTCTCAGATCCAGTGACTCAGAGCCATATGCTCATGGGAACTCCATTCACTGTGACCCAGACTTCAATGACACCCTCCCCCACCACCACCAAAAGAAGCTACCTGGGGTATTAGTTAACACTAGGGGGTTGGCAGGGCTGCGTTTTCTGTGCATCTGTCAGCAGTCTTCAGAAGGCTGTTCTCTCCCTTCTCCCACATCTCCTAAGTTCAAGGACCGCACTCTAATTGCAGACTTGGTGGGTGCCTCTATTGAACTGTGGAGACAGCACTCACCATGGATCTGCATTGCCCATCCGCCTGGACATTCATGAGAGGCCCTTTGGCATAGAACTTATACTTTTGTTGTTGCTGTTGTTGAGTTACAAAAGCTTTGCACACGTGTTGTGAAACATTTAAGAAAAGTTTAAGGTTGGAACCCATCCCATCACGCCACCACCAAGACAACATTTTTACCTTTTTGGCACATTTGTCATTCTCCTTGGTATAAATGTGGACACATCCGTTCACCGGCTTTTGTTTGTTTGTTTGTTTGTTTGTTTAATGAAGAAAACTGGATCACGCTGTATATACTCTTTAATAACTTCCTTTTCAAATGTGTATTTATATTTTAGGGTATGCAATATATGCACAGATATACAAAAGAGTACACAAACTCTGTAGTTGGAAGCGACTCTTCCTCCCCCGTCTGCCGCAGCTAGTTTCCCATGTACCCCCTAGAGAGAGATGTTTTTCAAAGATATGTGTACATATTCTTTTATCGCTCACAAGTGGTGGCATATCAGATACTTTTGTCCCCTTTTGCTTTATGTAATATGTCACGGGCATTTCGGCATATCTTTTGGACTTTTCTGATAGTATCTTCATGGTTTGGGTGGATCTTTATGTTGTAACCCGGCCACAAATGCGGATGATTTCACTTGTTTTCAATCTTTGCTGTAAATAATGTTGTAACTGACATTCTTGTCGCTAAATTTTGCACATGTCAATGATGAGCTCCTTAGGATGTCATCCAAGAAGGAAACTGTGTGACTGTTTTTAAAGATTTTGATACATGTTGCCAATGCCCTGTAGGAAGTTTGTACCAAGACACTGTACCGTTTGTGGCTCCCAGAATGCCCTGCTCTCTGGGCCTTAACAAGCACTAGGTATTATCACTTATCAAATCTTCGACAATTTGATAGGCAAATAATAGTATGTCAATGGTATTTCAACTTACTGCTTTAACTTTTTTTGATTATCAGTGAATAACATTTTCATATGCTTATTGATCATTTGTATTTCTTTCTTTGTGAATTTTCTATTTATTTGATATTGATGTTTATCTATGTTTATCTTTATTATCTATTTGTAACTTTTAAGAATATTATTTTTGTCAAGAAATGCAGCAGATATGCTTTCCAAGTGCTTTGCTTTCAGATTTCGTTTATGGTGCTTTTTGACATACATAAATTCCTAATTCTGCAATTAATTTGCCCTATGTTGTTAGTTTTTCCTGCTTGTATCTTAGACAAGTATCTAAAACGCAGTTCAAGCAGTTGCTTCCACAGCTTCAAAATGCTTCGCCACTTCGCATCATTCTTAAGACAAAAACCAAACCCTGAAACGAACACTCAACTTTACCAGGCTCACCTCGGGCCTTCTTAAAGTATCTTTCACTCTACAGTCATGTAACCCTGAGCCACTGAGCTGGCTAGGTCTGTGGGTCTTTCCATGCTGGCTCCTGTCCCTTGTTGGACATTCCTTGTACCTAACCCCATCTTTGCCTGGTAACTCTTTTAAGTGCTGACGCAGCATCAATCCCCAAACTTTAGTCTGTGCTCCTAAAGCAAAGCCTCTGCCCACTGATTGCCACAACTTACCAGAATTTCTTTAATTTATTTATTTATTTATTTATTTATTTATTTATTTATTTTTAATTTTGGCTTTTCAAGACAGGGTTTCTCTGTGTAGCCCTGGCTCTCCTGGGACTCACTCTGTAGGCCAGGCTGGCCTTAAACTCAGAGATCCTCCTGCCTCTGTCTCCCAAGTGCTGGGATTAAAGGCATGTGCTAACACCACTTGGCAAGAATGTCCTTTTTACACTTACCTCTCCCCTCACCCTTGGGTTCCCCAAAACAGGCGCTCAGGTTTCTTTGCAGGCAGAATGCCTGACACTGTAGGTGCTTGAAAGCTGGTGAGCACAGGATCTGCGATGGATAAACAGTGAATTTGGTGGCAGATATCGCTTGTGGTAAAGAAGATCTGGACTAGATCTGTTCTGAGAAATGAGAACTTCCTATAATACTCAGGTCTGCAGGGAAGCCGAATGCTCTGGCCCTTGCTCTCCAAAACGCCATAATCACTTCAGGGTTTTGTTTGTTTGTTTGTTTGTTTGTTTGTTTGTTTGTTTTTAAAGTACATGCTCGCAGGCTCAGCCTTAGACCCAGTGAATCAGACTCACAGGGATATTGCCCAGGCCCTTAGAGTGATGACCAGGCCTGTTAAGGGGCCTGCATTGATACAGGCCAGCAGCCTCATTCCAGCATACACCTGGCTCCATCACATCAAACCACGTGACTTCTTACAGTGGACAAATAAAGCTTTGTTGGAGCACTCACTTAAAAGACTACTGGTCCTGTGACACAGAGATAGTTACTTAACCTTCTGACTCTTGTTTTCCAAACCTACATAGAAGGGTGTTGAGAGGATTAGGAAATAACTGGCTCCCAGCTAATGTCTGCAACAGAGCAAACGACCATTTCCTTCCTTGCTCTCTTCAGCCTCAATTTCCCTCGTTGATAGTTTGATGATACCTCTATGCCTGCCCTCCATATTCTCACACTCAGCACCCTAAAAGCTACCTAAAAGTTACCCTCGTGTAACTCTGTTCAAACAGGACACGTTCTTGGGAAGGGTTGTAGGAAAATGAGGGCCCTAGATGGCCTCCTTATGCCCTGTCTATAGCAATCGATGGGAAATATTCTGATGATTTTCAGAACCCACTGTCCTCTGGTTATATCCAAAGATCAACACCAGTGTCCTTCCTGACAACCCACCCAAGCAGTCTCCATGCTGAAAGGAGGAGCAAGTATAAGGAAATAGAAGGGAGACTACCCCTCTCCTTCCAGTGCCCTTGGTGTCCCCATCATGTGACCATTGTTGGGTCAAACAGCTGACCAGCAGGTGCTTTGATTAAGATGTTCCAGCCTCCACATCTAGCACCATAGCAGTCTGGGGCAGGTGGTGGAGGCGGGGAAAATGCACTCTGTCCATCAGGCATGGCATAGTTCAAATTACCGAGTCAGCATGAAAAGCCCCACTCTAAATGGACTGAAATTGGATTCTATTAAAAACCACATGCAGCAAGGCCTTTGGCTAATAATATTTTCTAAGACGTAGGAGATTGAGAGGAGCTGGCGGCCTCTGAAGAAAGTTGTCTGGAATGAGGCCTCCACTGCCCTGTCTTTTTAAAGTCACAAAGAATGTTAGGAGTGGAAGAAAATTTGAGGTGAAATCGCTGGACCTTCATATACACAACTGGTCAAATCTAGTCCGATGATCAATTCAAGGGCACAAGGCTTATAAATTGTTCAGCCAGAACTGCAACTCAGGCCAATTTGTTGATGACAAACAACTTTCCCCTAAGCCGAAATATATTCACAATGCCCCTCACCTAAGAAACACGAATTTTGATGTTGTGAATTGTTTTGCTCTAAAGAAAATAGGGACACTGTATTCATTTGTTTATTCCTCCACTCAGTATTTGTCCTCTCGTGTTCTTCAGAAGAAGAGGGTCCAGTGCTTTAACAAGGCACACCTCTGCCTGCAAGACTTTTAGTATACTGGCAAGAAGGGAAAGTAAGCAATACTAGTTCCTGTGTAGGTAGTGTCACCAAAGACGCTGGAGCACACATAGAAAGGAGCATCTATACCCATCCCGAGGGAACGGGAAGATTTTTCCTGAACGAAGCCAGCACAGTAAAAAAAAGATGTGTAAATTCAGACCAGGCTCAATGACAATCTCATTAGTGGCCATAACTCTAAGAAGATGTCGGAGAGCCATCATGTGCTATCTTCCTGCTTTCTTCTGGTTCCCCATGCCTGGAATCAGGCAAAGATGGTGCTTTAGGACCTTGTCAGGTCCAAGAGCTAAGAAATCACAGAAGACCTTCCAGTTGTTTCTGATCAGATCCTTCAAGTAGCTGTTTATATTCTCTGCGAATGCAGCCAGGAACGTAAGACTAGTGCTTTCCACAGCTGGGAAGATGGCTCAGCAGGTAAGAGTGCTGACTGGGTTCAAGGATCTAAGCTCAATTCCTCAGTACCACTATTGCACACACCGGAAATCTGAGTGCTTCAAGAGGGGAGACAGGAGGGTCACTGGGGCTTACTGGCCAACCAATCGAGCTCAATCAGTGAAGTCCTGGTGCGCCAAGAGGGCCTGTCTCAAAAATAAGGTGGAGAGTGATAGGAGAAAACACTCAGCGTTGACCTCTGGCTTCCTCAGGCACATATACATATGTGTACACGTGAGCATGTACACACACACACACACACACACACACACACACACGAAAAGACATGATTTCCTTGAGAGGGAAATTCTATGTCAGGTTTCATACAGTGTAGCTCCCACACATGATTTCATGAGCACCTTGGATGGAGCACAGCATTATCAGTTCTCGTATCTGAGCCTCTTCATTCAATCTAGGGTGGTACTGTGTGCTAGAAACGTAATGTGGACCATCTTTATTTCCAGTCGTGCTACACAAAGTAAAAAAAAAAAAAAAAAAACAGAGTAAACAACCTTTAGTAGTATTTTTAATAATAAATAAAAACAAAGCTAAAGAAAACAGCCAAAATCATTCAGAAAGAAATTTATCAAAAGAAGTACAGAATTAATATTCCAACATTAAACATCAAACATTGCCGGGAGAAGTTAGAAGATGCCTGAATGAGCGTGACTGTATCTCGTGTTGAGGGAACGGAAGACTTAGTCTTGTCTCACAGCAGGACTTCCCAGGCTGATCTGCAGATCCTACACTGTTTTTATCATTGACAGAGTGATCCTAAATTTCATATACAGAGTTGAGGAATCTAGAACAACCAATCTAAAAGCAAAAACAGAACAGCAGGAACTGCAGAGCTCACTTGGTGGTTAAGAGCATCACTCGGTGGTTAAGAGCATTCACCGTTCTTCCTGGGGACTCACGTGTGGCTCACAACCACCTACGACTTCAGTTCCAGGGGATCCTTTACCCTCTTCTGGTTTGTGAAGATACCTGCACCTCTCTCACACACACACACACCCTTTCTTAAATAAAGGTAAATATTACTATAAGGACTAAAAGACCCACATCTGCTTTCAAAACGTATCATAAAGCTGTAATAATGAAGACAGTGTGAGGCTTACATCAAGAGAGACAATAGATCAATAGATCAACAGAATCGAAATGAGAGTCCAAAAATAAGCCCTGACATTTACAGTAAATTGATTTTCTACAAGAGTTCCAAGACAACTGAGTAAGTCGGGCGGGGGTGGGGAGAAGGAGGGAGGGAAGTCTTTCCAGCAAATGGTGCTGGGCTGACAAGATACTCTGTGCCAGGCCTGTGGGAACTGCCTCATGCTACATACAGAAATCCACCCAACATGGACTTCTGTCTTTGGATGTAAGTGCCAGCATTACAAAAATTTTTTGAGACTATGGTTAGATGAAGGTTCTGAAACACAAGCAACGAAAGCAAAATGACAAGCTAGACCTCAATGAAAACTGAAAATGTACTTCAAAGGACACTTCCCAGAAATGACAGACCACAGAGGTGGGGGGAGGGGATGCTACAATTAGTGTGTCCTGAATCTGGAATGCATAAAGAACTGCCATGAGTTCACAATGAAAAACAACCTCATGTAAAAAGGGACCAAGGGGGCTGGTCGTAGTGGCACACACCTTTAATCCCAGCACTCGGGAGGCAGAGGCTGTGAGTTCAAGGACAGCCTGGTCTGCAAAGCAAGCCAAGGAGGACCCCTGTCTTGAAAAAACAAAAACAAACAGACAAACAAAAAATGGACAAGGAATCCAAATACACGGTATTCCAGAGTAGAGAGGCAAATGCTAATACCCACATTAGAAGATAATCAATAACATTAGTGAAGCACATATCAAAATCACAATAAGCTACCACTCTTTGCCGCTAGGATTAGGTCATCAGATAATTAACAAAAGGTACTACAATTGCATTCATTTACTTGTTTGTTTGTTTGTTTGTTTTTGTTTTCCAAGACAGGTTTTCACCGAGTAGCCTGTGTGCCACCACAGCCAGGTGTCATTTACTTTTCTAATCACTCTAGGCAAATACCTGTCAGAAGCAACTCAAGGGAAGAGAGACTTATTTATTTATTTATTTATTTATTTGTTTATTTATTTATTTATTTATTCATTCATTCAAGACAGAGTCTCTCTGTACAGCTCTGGCTGTCCTAGAACTCCC